TTAATTAATATCACAAAGGGAAGCTGGGTCTGCATTGGATTGTGGGGATTATGCAAATGAAGCTGTGGACGGTGGCGGGGGGCGGGGAGGGGGGCGGAGGGGAGCGGGGAGATTTCTGAGCTCCTGGTTGTTCTCCTCGTTTTAAAAACCTGTCCATTTCCAGAAAACCTCGACCGAGGCCGCAGCTGGGACTGTGTCCTTTCTTGAGTCTAGGGCCATGGTATGGCAGTTGGAAGAATCCTGACTTCACAGGGTGCAGCCTGGGACTAGAACTTCTTATTTATTAATTTATTATTTTATTTTAAGGTCTGGGATACATGTGCTGCATGTGCAGGTTTGCTACATAGGTATACATGGGCTGTGGTGGTTTCCTGCACCTATCAAAACATCATCTAGGTTTTAAGCTCCTCATGCATTAGGTATTTGTCCTAATGCTCTCCCTCCCCTTTCCCCGCACCCCTCAACAGGCCCTGGTGTGTGATGTTCCCCTCCCTGTGTCCATGTGTTCTCATTGTTCAGCTCCCATTTATGAGTGAGAAGATGTGGTGTTTGGTTTTCTCTTCCTGTGTTAGTTTGCTGAGAATGATGGTTTCCAGCTCCATCCACATCCCTGCAAAGGACATGAACTCATTCTTTTTTATGGCTGCATAGTATTCCATGGTGTATATGTGCCACATTTTCTTTTTTTTTTTTTTTTGAGACAGAGTCTCGCGCTCTTGCCCAGGCTGGAGTGCAGTGGCCGGATCTCAGCTCACTACAAGCTCCGCCTCCCGGGTTTACGCCATTCTCCCGCCTCAGCCTCCCGAGTAGCTGGGACTACAGGCGCCCGCCACCTCGCCCGGCTAGTTTTTTGTATTTTTTTTAGTAGAGACGGGGTTTCATCGTGTTAGCCAGGATGGTCTCGATCTCCTAACCTCGTGATCCGCCCATCTCGGCCTCCCAAAGTGCTGGGATTACAGGCTTGAGCCACCGCGCCCGGCCCCACATTTTCTTTATCCAGTCTATCATTGATGGGCATTTGGGTTGGTTCCAAGTCTTTGCTATTGTAAATAGTGCTGCAGTAAACATACGTGTGCATGTGTCCTTATAGTAGAATGATTTATAATCCTTTAGGCATATACCCAGTAATGGGATTGCTAGGTCAAATGGTATTTCTGGTTTTATGTCCTTGAGGAATTGCCACACTGTTTTCCACAATGGTTGAACTAATTTACACTCCCACCAACAGTATAAAAGTGTTCCTATTTCTCCACATCCTCCCCAGCATCTGTTATGTGCCTGGGACTAGAACTTCTAGAGGGAGTCTAGGGGTAGGTTTTACCAACAGAGGGGAGATTAGACTGGTCACCCTGAAGGGAATCCAGCACGGGATGCAGAGCTTAATTCTTCTCCAAGAAGACAGTAAGGCATAGGAGAAAGGGCGAGGGTTTTGGAGTCAGAACTGGTTTCAAATCCCTGCTCTGCCACTTGGTGGCTGTGTGACCTTGGGTGAGTCATTTTACCCCTCTAAGCCTCAATCTCCTCATCTGTGACACGGGGGACAATGATTGTACCCTCATAGTGTTGATGAGAGGATTGAATGACGTAAAGTCTGTTAAAGGCCTGGGACTCAGCTCAGTCATACCAATGCTTGCCTCTTCATCCACTTGCTCCATATGGAATAAATACAACAATAATTCATGTAATGTAATAATATTTTTTGTATGCACAATATAGCAGCAAATTATATATATACACACACTACAACAGCAAATATGACAGCGAATTCTTGGAGAGGACCTACAGCAGCAGCTGGGAACTGTTCCGAGCCTTTTATTAGCTCACCGAGGGCTTACAACAACCCCACGATAGAGGCAAATACGAATGCACCCATTTCATGCCTGAGTGTGTGTGTACAGGAGGGGTGTGTCTGTTGTCCTCCCACCTCTGAGCAGATCCTGGCTGGTCAGGGGCCCTCATCTCCCCAGTGGTATAGATACTATAGAAGGGCCCTGATGTTTATCAGGTTTGACCTGCCTATTTTACAGTTGGGATACTGAGGCCTAGAGAGGGAAAGTAACCCAGTCACCATAGCAGATGGAGTTACCAGCAGGTCTCCTGTCTCCCAGCCCAGAACTTGGTTCTCTTCCCACTCCCACCCACCCTGGGGTGATTGATTGCTGAACCACCAACTGCCTCATGGGCTGAAAATGTTTGCTAAGCCTGAGTTGGCCTAGCCTGAGCTAGGCCCTGGGGGTGGGCGGCACCAAAGCTGAACAACTTTGCACCCGTCTGACCTCAGACGGAAGCCAGACAAAGAGCGGAGCTCTTGATGAGGTGCTGTGGAAGGGGAGTGGGGAAAGGGTATGGACAAGAAGGGGCAGAGATGATGAAGAGACCCTGGTCCCTGCCCTTTGAGAACTCACAGTCTGGTGGGTAGTCAGACCTAATTGGTAGCATAAGTAGACCACCACAAGTAGCATTTATCAAGAGTGGTCTTGTGGCCAGGCACGGTGGTTCACGCCTGAAATCCCAACACTTTGGGAGGCTGAGGCAGATGGATCACTTGAACCCAGGAGTTTGAGACCAGCCTGGGCAACACAGTGGGACCCCATCTCTTAAAAAAAAAAAAAAAAGAGAGAGAGAGAGAAAGAAACAAGAATTAGGCTAGGTGCAGTGATTCACGCCTATAATCCCAGCACTTTGGGAGGCTGAAGTGGGCGGATCACTTGAGGTCAGGAGTTCAAGGCCAGCCTGGTCAACATGGTGAAACCCTGTCTCTACTAAAAATACAAAAATTAGCTTGGAGTGATGGTGCATGCCTGTAATTCCAGTTACCCAGGAGGTGGAGGCAGGAGACTGGGAGGCAGAGGTTGCAGTGAGCCGAGATCATACCACTGCACTCCAGCCTGGGTGACAGAATGAGACTCCGTCTCAAAAGTAAAAAATAGGCCAGACGCGGTGGTGGAGGCCAAGGCGGGTGGGTCACCCGAGGTCAGGAGTTTGAGACCAGACTGACCAACATGGTGAAATTCTGTCTCTACTAAAAATACAACATTAGCCGGGCGTGGTGGCGCATGCTTGTAATTCCACCTACTCGGGAGGATGAGGCAGGAGAATCGCTTGAACCTGGGAGGTGGAGGTTGCTGTGATCCAAGATCGTGCCATTGTACTCCAGCCTGGGCAACAAAAGCAAAATTCCGTCTCAAAAAAATAGATAAATAAAGACTAAACTAAACTAAAATAAAACACAAGAAGTAGCCAGGAGTGGTGGTATACCTCTGTACTCCCAGCTACTCAGGAGGCTGAAGTAGGAGGATCACTTGAGCCCAGGAAGGCAAGGCTGCAGTGAGCTATGATGGAGGCACTGTACTACAGCCTGGACAACAGAGCAAGATCCTGTCTCAAAAGAAGGGTGACCTTGTAGCATACATTGTGCAACAGGCTTTATACTCATACTCTTCATTGATCTTCATAATAATCACTGGCTGGTGACATTATAATCATGTATCAGTTAGTGATATAATAAATAATAATATAATATCACATATAGAATTTAACAGTATCACATATATAATAATGTCACATGTAGAATATCACTGCCCTTTTACAGATAAGGACATTGAGACTGAGAGAGACTAAATAACTTGTCCAGGATCACACAGCACTACAGCACATGAGGGAGGCAGAATCCACACCCAGTTCTGCAGGTACCTACCTGGGCCTGTGCTCAGGGACCTGAGCATTCCTCTGTCTAGTAGAGTGGCCACTGGCCACATGTGGCTATCAAGCACCTGAAATGTGGCTAGTATAAATTGAGATATGCAGTAAATGTAAAATATACATGGGATTTCAAAGGCTAAGGAAAAAAAAAAGAATGTAAAATATCTCATTAAGAGAGTTTTGTTTTTGTTTTGTTTTTGTTTTCAGAAACTAGAGATAGGGATCTTGTAGGTTCCCCAGGCTGGTCTCAGATTCCTGGCCTCAAACAGTCCTCCTGCCTCAGCCTCCCAAAGTGCTAGGATTACAGGCATGAGCCACTATGCCTGGCTGAAGTGTTTTTTTCTTAATATTGGTGAAATGTTGAAATAATATTTGGAAGATACTGGATTACATAAAATGTATTAAAATTAATTTCACCTGTTTCATTTTACTTTTTTTTTTTTTTTTTTTTGAGACAGAGTCTTGCTCTGTTACCCAGGCTGGAGTGCAGTGGCACCATCTCGGCTCACTAAAACCTCCGCCTCCCAGGTCCAAGTGACTCTCCTGCCTCAGCCTCCTGAGTAGCTGGTACTACAGGCGCCCGCCACCACACCCGGCTATTTTTGTATTTTTAGTAGAGACGGGGTTTCACCATGTTGGTCAGGCTGGTCTTGAAATCCTGACCTCAGTCAATCCACCTGCCTTGGCCTCCCAAACTGCTGGGATTACAGGTGTGAGCTACCGCGCCTGGCTTCGTTTTACTTTGATTAACATCGCTACATTTCCTAATTTGAAATTCCACATGCGGCTGCCTTATATTTTGGTTGCACAGTGTGGTTCTGGACCAGCGCTGTCTGAGAACTTTCTGTGATGATGAAACTGTTCCATTCTGCAGGGTCCAGCAGGGTAGTCAGTGAGTCACATGTGGCTATTGAAAACTTGAAATATGACTAGGGCGACTGAGCAAGTGCAGTTTTAATTCGAATTCACCGTCATTAATTTAAATTGGAGTTGAAGTGACCAAACATGCCTCGTGGCTACTGTGTCATACAGCACAGCTCCAGAGAGGTGGGCTTTTCTGCCTTGTGAAGACAAACAAGTGCCACGGTGTGTTCTGGGTGTCCCAATAGATGTGTTTGTACAGGGTGTGGGGGACACAAAGAGGAGGTCAGTGGACAGGACTCAGAGAGGTTAAGGATTACTCAAGGGCACACAGCTGGGAGGTGGCAGAGTCAGGGGTTAGCCCCGGGTGAGCCTCCCTCCAAGTCCTGGGCTTGTTCTCAAGGTTTGCTGCCTCCTTTGTGGGGTGGGAGGGCGTCTCCAAAGAACCCCTCCAAGTCTACCACTGGGCCTGTACCACTCCACCTCAGAGCACCCCGCCTCCTGGGCACCCTGCTGGAAGCCCCTTCCAGGCTGAGGTGACCTGCCGACTTGCCTCAGTCTGTGCTCAGATATTGCCACCCTCCCCGCCCTCATCCCTCAGCGCTTCACGCCTGAATGGTGACCTCTCTGCGCTGGCCACACCCTGTCTCAACCCACCCCTCCTACATGCTCTCCAGGCCCCTCGCATCCTGTCCCATCCTCTGCTCTGGGAAGAGTGACGGCCCCTGCCTGTGGCCTGCTACTTTTCCATGGCTTCCGGGCTTCCCAGGTACTTTATTATTAATAATATTTTTATTTTTCTGAGATGGAGTCTTACTCTGTCACCCAGGCTGGAGTGTGGTGGCACGATCTCGGCTCACTGCAACCTCCACCTCCCAGGTTCAAGAATTCTCCTGCCTCAGCCTCCCAAGTAGCTGGGATTACAGGAATGCACTACCACGCTCAGCTAAATTTTGTATTTTTAGGAGAGACAGGGTTTCGTCATGTTGGTTAGGCTGGTCTCAAACTTCTGACCTCGTGATCCACCCACCTCAGCCTCCCAGTATGCTAGGATTACAGGCGTGAGCCACTGCGCCTGGCCCCAAGCACTTTAAAATGCAGAACTTGAACTCCCATCTCGTGTGGAAGCAATACTAGGAGCAGCCTGGCTCACTGCTCCCCTACCAGGCTGAGGATGGGCAGGGCTCCAACCCCAGGGCTGCCAACAACTGTTTGTGTGACTATGGGCAAGTCACTTCTCTCCAACTCTCAGTTTCCTCATCTGTAAAATGGACATAATGATAGCGTAGGGCTCTGATGAACATTAAATGCAGCTAAGGATTCAAAGTACCCTGTTAACTGTCAAATGAAATGCAAGCATGGGAAATCATTATGATCCTTACTGTGGGCCGGACACCCTCCTAGGTGTTACCCTCATGCTAACCTCATACTGTAGTGACTTTGAATTATGTCCCCAAATTCTTAAATCCTCCTCCTTTCGGAAGGTGGGGTCTAATTCCCTCCCCTTGAGGGTGGCCTGGACTTCGTGGCTTGCTTGTAACTAATGGAACAAAGTAGAAAGGATGATGACGTGTGATTTTGGAGACTAAGTCATAAAACGGCACCGTGGCTTGCTCCTCTTGCTGTCTCATGTTGGGGGAATGTTAGCTGCCATATCTTGTGGACCCTTGGACACATATTGGGAGGCCCAGGTGGTGAGAAACAAGGCCTCCTGCAAGTGTCTAGCAAGAAACTGAGGCCTCTTGCCAAGAGCCCTGGGAGTGAGCCACCGGCTACGCGGGCCCTTCAGCCTCAGGCAGAACTTTAGATGACCACAGGCCCTGCTGACATTCTCACTGTAACCTCATGAAAGACCTTTACCCAGAGCCAAAGCCACTCCTGAATTCCTGACCCACAGAAACTATGGTTTAATAAATGTTTGTTGTTTTTAAACCACTACATTTTGGGGATAATTTGTTATACAGTAACAGTAAAAACACATGCATGATCTCATTGAATTCTCATAATCTGATGTAGATACTGTTGTTACCCCCATTTTACAGAGGAAAAAACCAAGGCTCAAAGAGAAGACACTTGCCTAAGTCCACTCAGTAAAGATGTGATGGACTCAAGACCTCAGTCCAGGCCCATCTGAATGAAAACCTGATGATATGTATGTAAGTGCTCTGACATATCACCTCCTAGAGGGATTCTTTTTTTTTTCTGTTTTGTTTTGTTTTTGAGACAGTCTCTCTCTGTCACCCAGGACCCAGGCTGGAGGGCAGTGACATGATTTCGGCTCACTGCAACCTCTGCGTCCCAACTTCATGTGATTCTCATGCCTCAGCCTCCTGAGTAGCTGGGACTACAGGTGTGCACCACCATGCCCAGCTAATTTTTTTGTATTTTTAGTAGAGACAGGGTTTGGTCATGTTGGCCAGACTCAGCCCATCAACAGATACTGTTGAAATAATGTATGGAAGATACTGGATTAAGTAAAATATGTTATTAAAATTAATTCCACCTGTTTTGTTTTACTTTTATGAACATCGCTAAATTTTCTAATTTAAAATTCCACATGTGGCTGCCTTCTATTTTGGTTGCACAGTGCGGCTCTGGACCAGCAATGTCTGATAGAACTTTCCACAATGATGAAACTGTTCCATTCTGCACAGTCCAGTAGGATAGCCACTAAGTCACATGTCTTGAACTCCTGGCCTCAACTGATCTGCTCGCCTTTGCCTCCCAAAGTGCTAGGATTATAGGCATGAGCCTCCTAGAGGGGTCCTGATGGCTGAATCTAGATTTGTCTGGGCTCCACTGTGAGCTGGTGCCCTCCCAAGAACAGGGGCTGTAAACCACACATCTTGACCCAATTCCCAATTCCTAGCAACTAGTAGGGGCTCATTAAATGCAGGTTTGAATGAGAGATGTTTGAATCCTGTGTGGTCCTGGGCTGGTTCCTGGGCCAAGTCCATCCAAACATTTGTGGGGTTTAGGACAAGATACAAATGGAGTTTGTATCTAATATTTAAAAGTTATAAATCAGGCTGGGTGCAGTGGCTCATGCCTGTAATCTCAGCACTTTGGGAAGCTGAGGCAGGTAGATCACTTGAGGCCAGGAGTTAAACATATGTAACTTATATGTGTGTGTATGTACATATATATGTGTGTATGTGTGTGTGTATATGTGTGTGTGTATATATACACACATATATACATATATACACATATATATACATATATGTACACACACACACACACACATTTACATATAGCTGGGCATGGTGGCACGTACTCGTAGTCCCAGCAATTTAGGAGGCTGAAGTGGGAGGATCACCTGAGCTCAGGAAGTCAAGGCTGCAGTGAGCCCTGATCATGTCACTGCATTCCAGCCTGGGTGAAGAGAGTAAGACCCTGTCTCAAAAAATGAAATAAAATAAAAGTTATAAATCAAACCTAATAAACAGTTAAATAAAATATGGCAACTATACCTTTATTATAACAAAATAGAAAATATGCGTAAAGCTGTAGTTTTTATATGGTTGAAAGTCAGCAAGGTATCAAAGGTGACTGAATATAATATTGCATATGTCTGGGTAGTCTCTTGATAGGCTGATCATATTTGAATAAGTAATAAAACAAAAACCTACATGATTCATAAGTTATTATTTGTTCCATCAATTTTGTCTTTCTTGCCTTTCTTTCAACAAAATAGTAATTGTGTGGTCATAATCAAGATTCTCACGTAATTTCTGTTCTGTTGATGGCAATGTGAAATTAGACAACCTTTCGCAAGTCATTGTATTTCTTAGCTAGTTTTTAATTAATTTCAAGTTGGAAACACTTGCTCTGTTAAGGATGTAGCAACAAATTGTCAATAAAATTCTTAAAGCAATATTTAGATTAGGAAATGAGCCATGAATTTTATGTAGCAAGCTCAAACATTATAATGGGGTTGCATATGATAAATTATGATTATTGTGGAAAATGTTACAAGCTGTAAGTTCTTCATATAAATCATATCACATATATCATGATTTTTTTACTGTCTCTCAAGGCAATATCGAGATCTAACAGCCACGTAAGTAATTGACGTCACATTTTAAGCATGTTACAGCTGGACCTACGTATACACAAATTTAAGAGTAATATCAAAGATTCAATATTGCAAAATGTTCTTCAGCTTCCCTGTGCAGGTCTTGCAGATGCCATGCTCTTTTTTGAGCACCTCCAGAACCAGGACTTGGAACATAACAAGAAGTAAGGAAAATAGATGTTTGGTTCTAGTGGGAATTTATCACATTTGTGCTCTCTTAGAGGAAGGATTTAGCAAGTTAATTAACTTGTCTTTTTTCTTACCTAAGAGCGAAAGCTTTTCTTACACCGCTCAGAGCCTCCCCGTGCCCCAAAGCAGCGTCCATCTGCACTGTCAGCAGCCGCACAACACACAGCCTTTGTGGCATTTGGATGCAGTCATCCTTTGTGTCAAGGACATAGAGCAAGAAAAGGGAAGTGAATCCCTTCTGCCTCCTGGGGCCTGAGCAGTGTCAGTCACGAAAGTGGATGTTGAGGGTTACATGGGGTGTGCTGGGCCAAGTGACCAAGGCTCCATGTATCCTTTAATAAATTGTGTGCGTTTGTGATCTGGGGGTCCCCGTGCTACTCATGTGTGGTCTAGGCCTGAGGACTGTGACTGGTGCATGAACTACTCAGAAACCAAGAATAAGTATTTTAAAACACTCACAACATTATTGCTACATCCAAGCTCATGTTCACTTTTCTAGTGTAATTCATTTTTAAGTAATTATTTTATAAAATGTTCAAGAACAGTGAGAACATGTTTCTCTCATTTCCTGAAATTTTATTACCATTGCTTTAGGATGTATTGACTGTCGTTTCAAAATAGCACACATTGTATATTGGCATCTCTATCGTTGCAAGTTATAAAGCTATTTTTTTTTTCGTTGTGGTGAAAAAAACACATCACATAAAATTTACCATCTTAGCAATGTTTAAGTGTACAGTTCCATAGTGCTAAGTCTATTTGCGATATTGTGAAATAGATCTCTAAGACTTTTTCATCTTTACAAAAAAATGAAAACTCAGTACCCTTTAAACAACTCCTCTCTCCCCCTCCTCCCAGTCCCTGGTAACCATCATTCTACTATCTGTTTCCATAATTGGACTTACTTCAGATACCTCATTATGGATTTTTTTTTTTTTTTTTTTTTTTTTTTTGAGACGGAGTTTCGCTCTTGTTGCCCAGGCTAGAGTGCAGTGGCGCAATCTCAGCTCATCGCAACCTCTGCCTCCCGGGTGCAAGCGCTTCTCCTGCCTCAGCCTCCCGAGTAACTGGCATTACAGGCATGCACCACCACACCCAGCTAATTTTGTATTTTTAGTAGAGACAGAGTTTCTCTATGTTGATCAGGCTGGTCTCGGTCTCCCGACTTCAGGTGATCTGCCTGCATCAGCCTCCCAAAGTGTTGGGATTACAGGCGTGAGCCACCGTACCCAGCAGATTCATTTTTATTGTCTCTTATTAAAGTATCAGTCTGAGACAGATTAGAGGTTTAAAAACCAAAATGGTCCTTTGCCTTAGGTAGTTTGAGAAGCACTGCTCCCAAAATGCAGGGCCTAGGACAGGACCCCTCTTGCCCAGGTCTAAAGGCATTTCTGCTTTACTTCCCTGAGCCTCAGTTTTCCCCAGTGTAAAAAGGGGTGACCAAATGGTGGCGCTCTGAAGGCCTCACAGCCATGTCACCCGGGGATGCTCTGGTCACTGAATTCACCGAGTTAGGACTGTCTGGCTGGGCAGTCACCCTCTGTCCCCTCCCAGTGGGCCCTGCTCCAAGTCCCATTTCACGCGCCGAGGACTCCTTTGTCTCCACTGACACCTGGTTTCCTGCCTCTGCAGTCACAGCGGGGCCTTCTCATGGATGACACACGCAGGCTGCTTCCACTGCTTATGTCCTGGCCAAAGGTTTATGGCATTACCCACTAAGTTCACATTCCTCTCTGCTTGACCGTCACTCCTGTTTTCCATGAGTCACATGGGGCTGAAAGAGATGAGTTGATGTTGACGAGGATGCAACCAAGCGAGGGTCCCACATTCCAGAATTTCAGAGCTGAGGACTTGATTCTATTTTTTCTCTTATTTCACAGCGATGCACATTTACTGCCAAACAACCCCAAAAGATCTCTCTCTCTCTCTCTCTCCCCCCTACAATCCAAGCATCTAATGATAACTATCTTTATTTATTTATTTGTGGTTTGTTTTTTGAGACAGAGTCTCATTCTGTTGCCCAGGCTGGAGTGCAGTGGTTCTATCTCAGCTGACTGCTACCTCCGCCTCCTGGGTTCAAGTGATTCTCGTGCCTCAGCCTCCTGAGTAGCTCAGACTACAGGTGCCTGCTGCCATGCCCAAATAATTTTTGTGTTTTTAGTAGAGACTGGGTTTTACCACGTTGTCCAGCTGGTCTCCAACTCCTGACCTCAAGCAACCTGCTGGCCTTGGCCTCCCAAAGTGCTGGGATTACAGGCGTGAGCCATAACTACCTTTAACATTTTAGTAAATACTGGTTGAGCATCCCAGATCTCAAAACTGAAAATCCAAAATCCAAAATACTTCTGGTCCTAAGTATTTCAGACAAGGGATGTTCAACCTGTATCTTGCTTGTTTTCTTCCACACGCTTTTAAGACAACGTTAACAAGAATGTGTTGCTTCTACTGTTTCTAACCTGCTTTTTCCATCCAACCCTGAATATTTTTCTACATCTATAAATGTGCTGCTACATCATCAGTATGAGTGGCTGCAGAGTATTCCCTTGTGTATATGTTTGGCAGGACCAGTGTCCTCTCTCTCTCTCTCTCTCTCACTATTTTGAATAATAAATAACATTCCTGTATTCAATTTCTTCATTATTTCCATAGGATAAAATCCTAGAGGTGAAGTTTCTAAGCCAAGGGATATGCATACCATATTTAAAAGACTTTGGCTACAGGATTTGACAGTATTGATTAACACTGCCATCAAAAACATCAGGAGTGTCCATTTCAGCTCATGCCTGCCAACATTGGGTATTATCACTTTTTATTTAATTGTTGTTTTAACTTGTATTTCCTTTGGGGATGTCACGGACGTGTTTTCCTTATGCTTATTGGTCAATTATACTGAAACAGATTTTGGAGCTTATCATCCAGCTTTTTATTTTGACAAATGTGAAAACAGGCACAGAGGTGAGGAGCTGCTTCTTCAAGCAGGTTAGGGATAGATCAGAATGGAAACCAGGTTTTCTGATGTCCAGGTGAGGGGGATGTTTCTCCATGATTCTGGGGCCCCCCAAGTTGGTAGAGGGAGATAAGATTATAAACTGAGAATGGAAAACAGCCCTTCAGTGTTCCCTGTCGTTGTGTGACATTAGACAAGTGACTTCAGACTCCTTCTCTCTGAGCCTCAGACTTCTCACCTGTAAAATGAGAAGGCTGGATGAAATCCATTGCTCGGGTCTTTTCTTTTTTTTTATTTGAGACAGAGTCTTGCTCTGTTACCCAGGCTGGAGTGCAGTGGCACCATCTCAGCTCACTGCAACCTGTGCCTCCCAGATTTGAGCAATTCTCCTGCCTCAGCCTCCCGAGTAGCTGGGACTACAGGCGCATGCCACCATGCATGGCTAATTTTTTGTATTTTTAGTAGAGACAGGGTTTCACCATGTTGGCCAGGCTGGTCTTGAACTCCTGACCTCGTGATCCACCTGCCTTGGCCTCCCAAAATGGCAGGATTACAGGCGTGAGCCACCGCACCCGGCTGATTGTTCAGGTCTTATTCAGTGCTGAGATTAAGGCTATGATGCCATCTCCAGGTCCCTTCCGAGCTCTAATAGTTACAATGAACATCTTGCATGTGTACAGTACTTTACAATTTGCAAAACATTTCTGTGAAGCAGGGAGGAGAGGTATTGTCGTTAACCCCATCTCACAAGTAAGCAAACTGAGGCTCAGAGAGTTCAAATGGCTTAACCTATCTGAGTCACTACAACTTCAGTGAATTCCTCAGCCATCCCGCAACAGGCCTTCTAGCAAGATAGCTGCCTTGAAGCTCCTCTGTATAGAAATTCTGGACCCACCACTATAGTCCACCTGTCACAGGCTACTCATTCAGCTCCGGGATTCACTGAGCACCTACTCTATGCTAGGCTCTATGCCAGGGATGGGGATGCAGAGACCAGCATGGGGCTTCAGTCTTCTGGGGAAGACACACCAAAACAGACCATTTCAACAGAGGGTGACGGGTGCTCTGAAATGCTTTGACAGAGGGCAGTGTGAGAATGATAGGAGCAGAGAGGGGCATCCAGCTCAGATGAGAGGCATCTGGGCAGGCTTCCTGGAAGAGGTGGTGCCTGACTCTCATCTTGAGGAGGGAGTTAGGCAATAGACAGGTGAAGAAGGACAAGGAAGGTATTTGGGACAGAGGGACAGAGTGGGCAGAGAATTGGAGACAAAGAGGGAACAGCACCTTCGGGCAACTTTAAAAAGGCCACGGGGCTTGGACTAAATCCAGTGGGCAGTGAGGAGTCAAGGAAGGGTCTGGGTGGGGAGAGGGACATCTTCATTTATTTGTTTAGTAAGCATATGTTGAGTGCCAGAGCCTACTACACTGAATGCCAGGCACAGTGCCAGGCCCTGATTGAGACTAAGACAGATAAGACCCTTGTCCTCACAACCTATGCCTCTGACAATCAATTCTAGAACTGTGATTCTCAAACTTTTTGCTGTCAGGATCCTTCTATACTCTTCAAAACTTTTTGAGGAAGAGCCGTCACTTATATGGTTTATTGATACAATCCATGGGCATGATATTTACGTGTATTGAAAATTAAGACGGGCCAGGTACTGTGGCTCACGCCTGTAATCCCAGCACTTTGGGAGGCCAAGGCAGGCGGATCACAAGGTCAGGAGTTCGAGACCATCTTGGCCAACACGGTGAAACCTTGTCTCTACTAAAAATACAAAAATTAGCCAGGCATTGTGGTGGGCGCCTGTAGTCCCAGCTACTCGGGAGACCGAGACAGTAGAATCGCTTGAACCCAGGAGATGGAGATTGTAGTGAGCCAAGATTGCACCACTGCACTCCAGCCTAGGCAACAGAGCAAGACTCCGTCTCAAAAAAAAAAAAAAAAAAAAAAGGAAAAGAAAAAGAAAAAAGAAAATTAAGACTGAGGAAATGTGAACATTTTTATCTATAAATTCATTTCCAAATAATAATAACAAACCCATTCCATGTTTAAGTGAATAATATATTTTATGAAAAATAACTATTTTCCCAAATAAAAGTATTTAGTGGACAGAATCCCACTGTTTCACATTTTTGCACATCTCTTTTATGTCTGGCTTATGATTTTGAAAAAAGTTTGACCTTGAAAATTCCCCGTAAAGGTCTTGGGGATCCCGGGTCACACTCTGAGGAAGATGAATTGGATGAGGGGAAATCTGGGAGACGGTGAGACTGGTGAAGGGGCAGCTTTTAGGGATGGGATGGGAGCTAGGGCACAAGAGAGCAGGGGCAGGTTTGAGAGAAGGCAGTGGGCTGGGAGGCAGGGCCTGGGTGCCTGTTGCTGGCTGCCAAGACAGGGCTGCAGTCGG